GAGGAGCAAGACGTGGAAGAATGGGCAAAGAGGAGGAGGAGGAGGAGGAGGGCCAGAGAGAACCCAGGATGCACCAGCGATGCTGCCATACACCTTCCCGCCCCATGTCCCCTCCTCATAAGTCCGCCCAGCAGGGAGCGGGAAGTCTTTCGTGATTTGCGGGCCGTGTGCACTGTGCCTCTCACTCCCTGGAGGGCGGGCTGGGAGTGCTGATGTACTAACATGCTTGTAGCGTCGTGCGCTCTGCACCTCCCGTCACGCCCCGCGCCCCCCCCCCCCTCGCAAGTTCACGCGAGCATTCTTTGCCGCGTGGCTCGAGCCGCCATCGCGAGCGGCGCCCTCGAAGCCGAGGCGCAGATGCAGCATGACACGCAGCCGCCCTTCGAAGTCGAGACGATACCGGACACGCAGCCGCCCTTCGACGCCGAGACGCAGACGCTGCCGGACACGCAGCCGCCCTTCGAAGCCGAGACGCAGATGATGCTGCATGACATGCAGCCGCCCGTCCAGGCCGAGACGCAGATGCTGGACACGCAGCCGCCCATCGAAGCCGAGACGCAGATGCTGGACGCGCAGCCGCCGCCCATCGAAGCCGAGACGCCGATACTGGTCGACTCGGACCGTCCGGACCTGGTCAACGTCGACAGCCTCGACGATTTCATCGTGGAAGGCGAGGCGCAGCACAGCGGCCCCGCTGACGACATCGTGGAAGGCGGGCAACGCGATGCGATGCCGTCGTCGTCGTCGCTGTCGTCGTCGCCGTCGTCGTGGACGTCGACGTCGTCGTCGTGTTCGCGGTCGTCGTCGTAGTCGCCGTCGTCGTGGACGTCGTGGACGTCGTCGCGGTGGTCGTCGCCGTCGTCGTCGTCGTCGACGTCGCCATCGCTTTCGTCGTCGTCGTCGTAGTCGCGGTGGCCCCCAACGGCGCCCCCGACGGTAACCCCCAAATGGGGCCCCCTCTTCTGGGGCCGGGCCCTTCTGGGGCACTGGGGGCCCTCGTGATCGAAAGCGTTCCCTCGTCCTTTCGTGCCATGCTGGCGCGTCGCAGTCGCGGCCGTCGCGGTCGTCGCCGTCGTCGTCGCCGAGGCGATGAAATCATGGATGACGTTGACGTCGCTCCCTCCAGCAGCAGCTACTCGACAGCGTGCGAGGAGTCCGACGCCAGCAACGATGTCATCGTGGACTCGAGCGACGACGAGAAGCCGTCCACTGGGGGCACTGGGGAATGTGACCCCATGGGCACCCTCAGCGACGCGTTCTACCCGGTGGCCGATCGCTTGCCCAACTCGGCGGGGGGGCAGGGGCCAGCGGCCAGCGAGTGGCGAGGGGTAAGGAGTCGAGTCGAATTCGGTTTCTTCCCTCTTCTTTACTCGCCCTCCTCTCTCTCTCTCTCTCCCCCCGACCTCGGCCGTGCCGCCGTCCGACGACGACATTCCCTGCTTCTCCCCGCTCTCGCCTCGCCCTGGCCATCTTTCCCGCGTGAGAGAGATGTGCGCGCGGCGCATCGTCAAGCAGTATTTCCCAAACAGCGCTGGCATTCAAATGTTAAGGTGCCCTAAGCTGGGGCGACGCGGGGTCCTCTGAGCCGCCATGGGTGACAGAGATCTCCAGTTGTTGTTGCCGGTTGTTCTTCATGAAAATAGGTGCCAAGCAAAAACGAGAAAGCGAGATTGTCGCTGGCGCTGGCGGGCAGTGGGCCCAGCGGGCCCCAGGGCCGTCTCAGGGGCAGGGGGTGGGATGAGAGAGGAGGGAGAGGAGAGAGAGAGAGAGAGAGAAAAAAAAAAGAGAGAGAGACGAGAGAGAAAAAGAAAGAGAAAGAGAGAGAGAGTGAGAGAGAGAGAGAGTGAGAGAGAGAGAGAGGAGAGAGAGAGAGAGAAGAGGAGAGAGAGAGAGAGAGAGAGAGAGAGAGCGAGCGAGCGAGCGGCGGGGAGGCCTACGATAACATCACGAAGCACTTGGTCAGCGAGGTGTCCACCTTCGCCTCCGTGGCGCTGACGAAGCTCGTGGACTCCAGGGCCTTGCCGCGCTGGTTGAGCCAGGAGAGCCGCCGGCGCGGTGAATTGCGGGCCACGGCGACAGGGGGGAGCAGGGAGGGGGGGCAGATGAGGGGGCTCGGAGGTGGGTAGCTAGGAGGGGGAGCGAGGCGAGGAGTGGTGCCCTCTTCGACCCATCTTGCAGTTCGGAGCCCTCTCGGGATAAAGTCGGGCCCTGAAGAAGGAACCCTTTTGGTTGGGGAGGGGCTCCAGCGGCTCCCTGCTCCTTAATTGTTTCGCAACTTGCTTTAGGTTGTCCTTAGGTTTTCGATGTGCAATCGAAGTTTAACGTATGGGAAATCAGGGCCTCGTTCCTTATTTATGGTTCCTTGGGTCAGTCAGACAAGACCCTCACACCCTCACTGTTGCGCCGAGACACGGGGCCACCGTCGTCGTCGTCGTCGTCGCCCACGTCGTCGCCCTCGTCGTCCGAGGACAAGATTTCCAGCATTCACGCGGTTGCCAAGTACGGCGTCCCGCCGGCGTTCCACCACCAGGCGCTGAGCATTCTCCAGAATTCATTCCTCGAGCTCGAAGGGGAGACGAGCCTCGCCGAGGCCCTGGCGCGCCTGGTGGCCACGGGCCTGCGGAACCGCGATGAGGTCGACAGGAAGTTCTTATATGATGCCGTGGAATTCTTCGCTGGCGTGGGCAGCATCACCCAGGCTTGCGTCGAGATGGGCGTCAACGCGGCGGCGTTCGACGTGCTCTTGGACGAGACCCACGATATTCTCACGCCAGTGGGCATGGCGAAGCACGTGCAAGCAGTTCTTCTGGCGAGGCTTGGAGGGCTTAATTGGCACGGCATTTCTTGCACGTCTTTCGTGTGGATGTGCAGGGCCGTCACGAAGAGGTTCAGGGGGTCGCGCCTCGGTGATGGCCGAGTCCCGTGCGTCGTGGAGGGGAACCGCATGGGCTTGAGGGTCCTGATCATGATCATCCTCGCAGGCCTCTTGGAAGTGAATTTCGTGGTGGAGCAGCCCATCAGCTCCGTCTTGCACGATCTCCCGTTCACGCAGCCTTTCTTCGCGCAGCTCGAGAGGACCACGACGTGGATGGGGTCGTTCGGTGGGCCCTCGCATAAGCCGCTGAAGTTGTGGAGCAACTCCGAGGCCACAAAGGAGCTCAACCGCTCTCGCCCCCCGAACTTGCCCATCGACCAGAAGCTCTACTACAAGAGCAGCCACGGCAAGATTCACGGCCACAAGAAGGAGATCCGCGCGAGCTCCGAGTACACCCTCGAGTTCGGCAAGCAGGTGGCCATGGCGTTCTTCAGGATCACGGCGACGCTGTCGGAGGTGCAGCCTTAGGCGCGAGGTCTGTCGAGCCATCGAGGGGGGTCGACGCCCCGCCCGGCGCCCATGAGTTCGTCGTCGTCGGCGTCGTCGTCGTGGTCAGCGTCGTCGTCGTCGTGGTCGTCGTCGTCGTGGTCGTCGTCGTCGTGGTCGTCGTCGTAGTCGTCGTCGTGACCGTCGTCGTCGTCGTGATCGTCGTCGTCGTGGCGTCGTCGTCGTCGTCGTCGCTTTGGGTTTAATCGCTGCGAGGTTGATCGACGACGACGACGACGATCACGACGACGACGACGGTCACGACGACGACGATCACGACGACCGACGACGGTCACGACGACGACTACGACGACGACGACGACGACGACGCCGCCGCCGACGACGACGATCACGACGACGACGACGACGACGACGACGGCGACGTCATCGACGACGTCGTCGTCGGCGTCGGCATCGTCGTCGTCGGCGTCGTCGTCGGCGTCGGCGTCGGCGTCGTCGTCGTCGTGGTCGTCATCGTCGTGATCCTCGTCGTCGTCGGCGGCGGCGTCGTCGTCGTCGTGGTCGTCGTCGTCGCGGCGTCGTCGTCGTCGTCGCGAGCTGGGCTGGGCTGGGACTTCGACCCCCCATCGGCTCGACGAGTGCGCCGCGGCGGTGCGTTGCTTGGGGGGACTGGGTCGCAGTCCGGATCGACTCGATCTGTTGATCGGGATAGTGTCTCGATGGCTGAGCGCTGTCAAAGACCCTTCGCCTCCGCCCACCGCCCTCGCCCTCGCCTTGGACCAGGGGCCCCGAGATACCCTGGGAGGCCGCGTCTGGTCAAAGCATTTGGAGGCCCCAGGGCCCCAGACTGGCGCCGTCGTCGACCCGCCCTCCGCGGCCCTCCGCCCTCCATCCTTATCCCCGTCACGGCCGGGGGGGGGTCACCTGGTCAGGGAGTCAGCCCTGGGGTGGGGGTGCCAGGCAGTGCCAGGGCCCAGGGCCCCAGGGAGAAGGAGAGCTTCTCAGGGCATACGAGCAGTGGCGAGTAGCCCTGAGAGGGGCGAGCTGGCGTCCTTGGCATTGGTGTTCTAGGGCGCGCGCTAGAATCCGGCCCCCACCCATTTCGGCGCACCCCTTAGCGCCTGCGTCGGAGCAGAGGGGGCCCCCGATCACCCCATCAACTATGAGCTCAAGAGCTAGCAATTTGTTCGAATAAAACGAAAATCACCGATGAAGCCATCAACTATTACTTGGACGTGGCCGGTTGAAGTCGGAACAGGGTAGCGTGGGAGGGAGTAGGCCCTACCGTGTTGCTGCGCCCTGCAGTAGGGGATGCCGTGCGGGGCCCTCTGCTGCAGGGTGAGGCGCCCGGGCGGTCCCGCCCCATCCCCTTTTCTCAGAGGGCCCATGCGTTATCCAGCTCTTGCGTGATTTTCCCAAGCAAGACGAAAAGTTGCCACAGGACTCCCTCGGGCCGACTCGGGCCCCTGCCTGGGCCCCAGGGCTCAAGCGGCCAAGGGCCTCAGGGAGGCTCATTCAAAATGACAGCACCTGGAAATCATCCTCCCCCCTAGGACTCCCTGGCCTGTTATGAGAGAGTCCGAAGGCGCGTGGATTGATCGCCATCGGCTCAGAACAAGGGGCCAGAGCAATATTCAGGTGACCTATTGCGCACGCCCTGCGATCCGCCAGTGGCCCCATGGCGAGTGCCGCAGGGCAGGCGTTGCTGCCGGATCCCGACGGCCAGCCTGAGCAGCAGGAGCCGCCGCTGCAGCAGCCCGAGGCGATGAAGCTCGACGAAGACGTCCTCATGGCTGACGAGGCGCCGCTGGCGCCGCCGCCGCCGCGGCGCCCCGGCGGATCAACCATCGCCCGCCGCCGTGCCAAGGCTGCGTCGGACAAGGCCGCCGCAGCCTCCGCGGCCAAGGGCGAGGAGAAGGGCTCCGAGGCGGCCAGCGGCGACGGCAAGAAGGATGGCGACGAGGAGCCCAGCGACGCGCGCAAGTGCCCAGTGTGCTTGCTCGAGGTCGGGCGCGATTCGCGACTTTCAAAACGAGGAGTGGGGAGAATGAGGAATGAGGAGGAGGAGAGGATGAGGAGTAGGAGGCGAGGAGTAGGGGGATGAGGACATCCCAGGGGGTGCGGATGATGACGAAGAGGATGAGGGGGACCGCGGGACCGCCCCCCTCCCGCGGTCCGTCTCCTCTCGCTCCTCGCCCGGCTCCTTTTGGCTCTGCCTCCCTGGCTCCTCTCTCTTGCCTCCTTCGTCCGTCCAGCCTGGGCTCGGTCGGCGCTCGGCGGCCCCCCCCCGTCCGTCCGGCGTCGTCGGCGCTCGTCGCGGCAGGGTGGGGGGCCCAGGGCACCGCTCTCTGCCATGGCCCCCCAGGCGTCACGCCTGCGAGGAGGGCCAGGAGCAATTAGAATGAGGAGGATGAGGAGCGGGGCGAGTGAGGGGGAGGGAGGGGGGGCTGCTCGAGCCCCTGTCCCCGTCCCCGCGCCCCCTCCTTTCCGCCGCCGCCGTCGTCGTTTCTGCCGTCCTCGCCGTTTTCGGCCTCGTCGTCGCAGTCGTCGTCGCGGCTCTCGTCGTCGTCGTCGCTGGTCGTCGGCATCCTCGTCGGCGCTCTCCTTGTCGTCGTCGGCGTCCTCGAGCCCTCGCCATCGTCGTCGTCGCCCTCCACCTCGTCGTCTACGTCGTCTTCGTTCTTGCTCCCGTCGTCATCGTCGCTGGCGTCGTCGTCGGCGTCGCCTCGCGAGGAGGGGAGTGGGGGGGGGGGTCGAGGCGCGGGCGGGGCTTAGCGTTGCCCCCAGGTCGAGCGCCTGGACCCAGATACCAAGATCACGACTTCCAAGGATGAGAACGGCGCGGTCTGCGATGTGCGCTGGCACGGGAAGTGCCGCGGTGCGGCGCGGTATTTGGAGAACGTCGCGAGGGACCAGGACAAGAAGGAGGACTTGCCGAGCGATAGGATCCACATGAGCAACCTGAAGAAATGCGAGAAGGAGAACCCCGCGCTGTGGCGATCCAAATGCATGGGCCTCATCGTGAAGACCGGCGGCCATCGCGGAGTGGATATGAGGGAGAAGGCAGTGGATTACATCTCAGAGATTTCTCAGTACGCCGCCTCGGAGACTATCCGCGACGTGGTGATGATGGACATGGACTTGTTCGTCGGGTACCACATGGCCAACAAGAGGTGGTCCGAGGATCGGGCGATCAAGGAGTTCGAGCGCTTGGTGGACGACGGAGAGACAGAACAGGATTCCGACGGAGAGGATTGCGTGCCAGTCCGCATGCCCAAGAAGTACCGCGGCAGGGAGGGCCGGATGGAGCTCCGCAGCATGCACACGAAGCGCAATTTGCAGACCCCCGACGAGGAGGGCGCGTACCGCAAGAAGATGAAGCAGGCTCTGGGCGTCGCGACCAACCCGAACTTGCAGGGCCCTGGCCACGCGCCGGCGCTCCTCAGGCCTGGCGGAGCTTACCGCGGCTCCACTCGCCGCGGCTCCAGCGGCGCCCATGGCAGCAGCCCTCGCAGCAACTTCGGATTCGAGGACAGCTTCAGCGAGTTCGGCGATGAGTCCAGCAGCGCTGACCCTCGGCGCCACGAGCTCGGGGCTCGCGCCGATGTGCCTGGTGCGGCCGCCGCGGCCGCTCCTTTCCGCAGCGCAGTGCCGCCGCCGCCAGTGCCGCCGTTCCCTCCTGCGCGCGCGACCGCCGCAGCGGCCGCCAGCGGCGCCAGCCTGGCGGCAGCCCCCCCCGAGGCCACGGCGGCGGCAAGGGCGGACCCGGGGTCCGGGTCCGCCGCGGCGGCCCCCGCCGCGTCGCCGCCGCCCAGGGCCGAGGGGCCCTCCCCGCCGAGGGCTGAGCAGAAGGTGATGATGACGGCGGCGATGCTCAGGGACGCCAAGAAGGCTCTCGTCGCGGTGATCAGGGGGGTCACGGAAGACGTCTTGCTCAAGAAAGAGGGCCTCGTGGCAACGGTGAAGAAGACCCAGTCCGACATCCAGAGCCGGCCCGCGCCCGCCACGCCCACCGAGCATTGGGACACTGCGAAAGAGGAGCTGCAGAAGTTGAAACAAGTGGATGAGGTTGAGACGATTGCCAAGAACCTGTCGAACATGGTCGCCGCGGTGACGTCGGCGACAGTTAGCGATTTCACAAAGTTGAAGACCGATGCCGACCAGCAGATCGTGGAGTTGGAGACGATGGTCTCGAGCCTCAGGAGCGCGAAGCAGAAGTTGCTGGAGGCAGATTCGGAGCACAGGAAGAAGCTGAAGAGCGATGCTGCCAAGGCTCTATACGCGACGAAGAAGGCCTCCAGCCGCTACACGCAGACTGGGTGCTCCACGGCGCTCGGGCTGTTCCTGGACGGCGTCGCCAAGAGCGAGAAGGATGATCCGACCAAGATGGAGATGCCGTCCGATCAGCAGGACGGCCTGGGAAGGGAAAGAGGGAGTCGGAGGCACGGTGGAGGTGAGAGGAGGTGGGGAGGAGGCGAGGGTGTGAGGTGCGAGGGGGTGAGGAGTCAGAGTCAGGAGGTGGCGGAGTGAGGAGGTGAGGGGGAGGGGTGGTGGTGGTGAGGAGTTGAGGAGAGGAGGTGGAGTGGGGGAGGAGGAGGGGGGTCCGGGGCCCGTGGTCACGATGATGGTTGAGCGGGCTCAGTTGTCGCCCATGTCATCGTCGTCGTGGCGACGACGACGGACGCAAACAAAATCCCCCCCTTCCGTCGCTAGGATGCCTATGGTGGCCCGAAGCCGATGTACGTTACCGAGGAGGGCGACGCCGCGGTGTATGATGCCGTTCGTTCGGTCTTCTCCGACCCGGAGGCGAAGTTGGGCACGAGGTCTCAGAACTTGCAGGGGCACTTGACGGCGCCCAAGAAGCTGAACGGTTGCATGATGAACCCGACCATGGGCTGTGAGTGGCTGCAGAAGTGCAGGACCTCGCAGTCGGAAGGCTCGACGTTCGCCTCAGTGGATGACTGCTTCTACTCCCCGTGGCTGGTCAGCCATCGTCGTCGTCGGAGTCGTCGTCGTCATCGTCATCGTAGTCGTCGTCGTCGTCGAGGTCGTCGTTGTCGTAGTCGTCGTTGGAATCGTCGTCGAGGTCGTCGTCGTTGTCGTCGTCGATGGGGACTTCGGTCTTACAGTCGTGGCCCTGAGGAAGGAACCCTTTTCGTTGGTGAGGGGCTCGGCTCCGCGTTCCTTAAGTGTTTCACAGTTTGCCTCAGTGTTCCTTAGGTTTTCGATCGCAAATCGAAGTTTAGCTTATGGTAAAAAAGGGGCCTCGTTCCCTATTTAGGGTTCCTTGGGTCAACGCCCCGACTGTATTTCCACCGCCGTAGCCAGGTCTGCTTCGCCAAGTGCACGGCTCGCGCCAGCTACGAATCCATCGGCTTGGTCGGCCTCCCCCATTGCATCACGTCGTTGTGCCAGGAGGTCACCGTCGCCCTGGCCCACGTGGGCTTCTTGGCGAAGCACGGCTTGAAGAACGTCAGAGATGCGGCCGAGTTGATCGGCACGCTGGACACCGCCAAGATGAAGGACACCGTTTCTTGGATGCGCCTGCAGCCGGACACGTACATCATGATTCCGTTCGGATGGGTGCCGATCTACTCCACGGAGGCCGACTCCGCCGTCGTTGCCGCGATCCCTTGGTTGTCTGAGCACTTGTTCGGAAAGGCGCGCACACTTCGAAGTTGAAAGCTAGGGGGAGGCGGATAAATGAGGGTGAGGAGGAGTAGGGAGGAGGGGGGAGGAGGAGGAGGGGGAAGGGGGGGATGAGGGGGAGGAGGGGGAGGAGGAGGAGGCCCCTCCCCGCCGCCGCCCCGCCTCGTCAGGCGAGCGTCCACGAGAGCATGATCATGTCCGGGCTGAGCGAGCACGTCGCAGCGAATAAGAACCCGCCGTGGTCGCAGTACTTGAAGAGCATGCAGAGCCTCGCAGACGCCATCAAGCCCCTGGCGCTGGGGGCTGGGGCGGGGCCCCTCCTCCTGCCCCTCCCCTCCCCTCCCCACCCTCCCCTCGTGTTCCTTCCCCAATCCACCCTCCTCCCCTTGGACCTCCGGACCCATAGGCCCATCTCCCTTCCCCCCGCGATCTCGGAAATTCGAACACGGCGCTCTCGCTTGAGATATCCTTGAAAAGAGTTGGGATCAAGACATCAAGACTCTAAGACCTCTGATCTTGGAAATAAGCGTTTCGCTTGCGACATCCTCAGGCACGCGGCCTGGATCGCTTCAGGCATGCACGTTTTGCTTTTCGCAGTCGCGTCTATCGACCCCGTCTGCCGCGCGCGCGTCCGCGCTGAGACATCCCCCGAAAATCTCGATCGCCTCCGCCTCTAGCTGCCTCCTGACCGCCCTCCCTCCCCCTCGTGTTCCTTCCCCCGGCCCCCCCACCCTCCTTCCCTCCTTCCCTCCCCCCTCCTCCTCTCTCTCCCTCCCTCTTTCTCGCTTGTCCCTTCTACTCCCCCTTCTCTCCGCCCCTCGCCCTCGGCTTCCTGCTCCCGACGGGCGCGCCGCACCGTGCCCGACCCCCCCTCCGCCTCCGAGGTGCTCGAGCCCAAGCCGCCCGAGCAGAAGCAGGAGGAGCTGCAGGGCGAGCCCGCGCCGGCCGACGGCGCCGAGCCCGCGCCGGCCGCCAGCGCCGGCGGCGCGTAGGCGGCGCCAGCGGCGCAGCGACGAGGAGGAGGAGATA